TACGACTACCGAAGCTGTGGTGCGCGAAGACTCGTCCAGGAGCCGATGGACCATTCACCACTACGGACGTCCATAACAACGGCAAAAATACGATTGACAAAAGATCGACAATGCAGCAAACAAGAATCCTAGGCATGTTCCGTTTTGGCGCACAAGTTCATGGGAAGAATGACATGACTGAGACGTTATCTCTTCTTTAACCTGATCCGAGTAGTTGTCAGCTCATTTCATATCATTTATAACCAGACCAGAATCAGATAGTATGAACCCACGCGTATGGGACGTAGTATACAGCGAGCGCTCAAGGTACACAGAGCAGCAGTAGAGAGTATATGTAGAGCGTCACGCGCTTTCGCTAGCATTCAATTGGTATTCAGTTTTTTTACCACACACCCCAGGGTTGCCTTTCAATAAGCTCCTCTGGCCCAATCAGTTCCACTGCAAGCCAAGGGCCTGTCATATGCAGCAAAAAAGGAGACACACATGACGACAACAAATACATAAGGACAGCGCAGCTTCCTAAACAATCTCGTCACTTGGTGATTGCGGAAGAAGCGTTGGTGAGAGCCCCGAAGAAGCGTTGTGAAAGCTCGGATTCACTCGACGTGCTACAATTTAGTACATTCGTGTTAGAAGCGCACGCGCCGTCCACCTCAAACATTTTGGCACCTTGACTTCCCTTTCTGAGCACAAACAACCAAAGAGACCTGCATCAGGATGGTAGGACGGAAACAAGAGCCAACCACCACCTGTAGCATCGAATCTTTCTTCATAGAAACGTGGCCATGTATCGAGGGTCCCATCACTTCCCGGCATGAAAAATTTATGCGTCCTTCCACGTCAGATTATACTCGTGTGCCGTTGACAAATTGTGCCTAAGACACCTCTACTATCAACGTCAGAGGCTCAAAAGGATCTGAGAACCTCCCAGCTTGGTCCTGAGTCGCTCTTAATACAGTACCTGTAACGGGGCATCCTGAAGCTTGTACTGGTGACAGTACAAGCTACTTATTCTGATGACAGAATAAGGCGGTGCCTTGGAACTTCACGTACACTCGTACGTGCAGAGAAAGACGGTAAGGAGAAGCGAGTACTTGGTTAAAGTAAAAAGTAGAACTGTGTTTCTCATAGTTAATGTCTGTTAATAAATCACTATTTATCCTCATCTAACTATGTCTAAATACAAATGTGTAAATCAGTTATCTGCTCACCACTCATTGCGTGCGTCTGTCGTGGCGCGTCTTCGTTGGTTGATATAATGGCCTATATCAACCAATTAGGAACTACTCGTAAGTGCTACAGAATATTGTCCTTATGACAATATTCTGAGAATATTACTCTTATAGTTATATTCTATTAACAATTTCTTGTAAATTGTTATGCAACGATTCACCCCGTTACATCACCCCCCCCCTTTACCATCGGTCACTTTAGTGACTGATTGACTAAATGGATACTCGTCCCAAATCATTTGGGACAGGGTTTGCACTTGTTGGTCCGAGTCCACTTTCCAACAGTTCATCGCATGGTTAACAAGCCCATGCGATGCGCGAGCAAGGCCGCCGAGAGCGCGTCCGCACTTCTTTGTGCGGACGCCGAAGCAGAAACCACAGCAACTGATGTCCCATCGGTTGCTGAAGAGACCCAGCCTGTGTCGCTTGGTGACGCAGGCGCTGGTCATGAAGACACTCGTGTCTTCACAGAGTACGAGCTCGGTGTCTCGTACTCTCCTGATACGGATGACGGATCCGTATCGACGGCAATTGAATCCAAGCCGCCTGCCAAGCGTGGCATGGACGATGCTTTGCGTCGCAGCATCTTTGGTTCATCTGACGAATCAGATGAACCATCGCCGAAGCGAAGGCGCTCGAGGTCGCGAGACTCGGGCGCTAACAGTGGTGTCGGTTCTCCAATGGACACCACTTCACAGCGAGGTGCCAGTACTTCTGTCGGCACGTCGCAGGAAGAGCGGGACCGCAATGTGTTTCGTCTCGCTCCAGAAAAGAAGGCATGGATGCCTCCTAAATCCGTCATGGATCACTTGTCGGCGACGACGAGTGGTCGTTATCGAACACGATTGTTCGATTCGTCAAGGATCCATCACCTTGACCCCAGCGCGAAAGACTATCGCGCTGAACATGAGTTCTTCATCGATGCTTTCTTCAAACATCGATGGTACAAGGGGAAACAAAAACGTGATGGCCCCTCACTGCATCAATCGTGGAACACTTACATTCATAACCTTGAGGATGTAGGTCATGACGTTTGGAGCGACAAACTTATCAAAGCTCGTGATAAGTTTGCAAAGCGAACCCCGACAGGTGCACGCTACAAGCTGCATCGTCTGTCCAGGGAGAAAGGATTACCCTGCCTCTCCTGGGGAGACTCGTGCCCATGTTGTGTGAACAACTCTGCACGAGCGCTTAAGGAGGTTTACCTCCCTAATAGACCGTGGTGGTGCGTACGTATCTCTAGTGAGACGTACGAAGGGATTGACAACCTGAAATCCCTTCACGACCGTGCCGGGAAGACTTTCTCCGGCGGTCCCTCTGCGGCACAGGATATGCCGCGTCGCACTGCTCAACCAGACCCAGTACGTCAACCATCAGTTGGGAGCGGGGCTCCCAAGTATCCCAGGACGGGGGATAGCCGCGCCACCGGACGAGACAACTCGTCCGACGTCCGTTCACGTCGCGATGGTTCAACATCTGCTTAACCTGATAGCGCTGGCCACCACGAGAGTCCTTTAATGGAGGTGGAGGAGAAGGAAAGACGCTCTCCACACGATCTTGGGGATGCGTGTGTTCCCGAGAGCTTCTTTGATCGCGTAACGCAAGGGTTACGCGGCGATCTCGAGCATGAGCGGAATAGGCGTCTCCAAATGGCGGACACTGCCTCGAAGCATCGAGCTGAGTTTGCCTTTGCTCAGCTCGAGAACGAGAGATCTCTGACATCTCTTCGTGACGAGCTAAGGGTAGCTCGTGGGATTGCTGATCGGTCTCGGGCTGAGATAACTGCTCTTCAGACCCTTGTTGATGCCCACCATCGGGAGCACAAGGCTCTCTGCAAGATGCTTGAGCGCAAGGGCGTTCTTCATTGGAAGAAACAGCGTACTGATGGTACGGCTTAAGCCGACTAACGTTATACGTGGGACGCGTTCGCAACTTACGTGGCAACTCGATCGTGTATGCATTGTCTAGGCGGTGCAACACACGAAATGGATTGATGCACTTGGGTAGAAGTTTACTGCTACCCAAGTTAGTCACTACATGCTTTGGTAGATTAACCGTAGACAGTAGGACTAAGTCACCTTTATTAAATAAAAGAGTGTTTGCCCTTCCATTCTTGTCAGCGTTTTGCTTTTGCTTATCCACCGCTTCGGCGATAAAGTCTTGCACAAAAAGGAATAACGTTTTACGAGCCAGTATGAACTCATCTGATGACTCGTTAGCTTGAGTGCGCTGTGAGTGCACTGCAGCAACATCAACCTTTTCTTTAGTGAGGGCTTCCGCACTCTCAATGGTATCATCTTCTTCGATATTGATGTTATCTATTTCGGCATCAAACGCAATGACCTCTTCGTCAGAGCGTGATGAGCGTGAACCAAACCGGTTTTTGCTCGCGCGAGTCCCTCCCCCTTCTTAAACCAGAGTTACACTCTAGTAAGGTGGGTACACGCGGATGGCGTAAGCCATTCACGTAAAACGGTGTACGTGTCGTGGACGCATGCACCGAGTTGTTAATGGCAAACTCTACCATTGACAAGAACTCACTCCAACTCTTATAGGAGTGTACGTACCCTCGAAGTATCTCTTCGAGGACACGATTGGCACGTTCCGTCTGACCATCTGACTCTAGATGATCAGATGTCGACATCTTCAAGCGCGTTCCGAGTGATTTGGACGCATGCACCGAGTTGTTAATGGCAAACTATACCATTGGCAAAAAACTCACTCCAACTCTTAAAGGAGTGTACGCATCCTCGAAGTATCGCTTCGAGGACACGATTAGCACGTTCCGTCTGACCATCTGACTCTGGATGATCAGATGTCGGCATCTTTAAGCGCGTTCCGAGTGATTTGAACACGAAACACCAGAAATCAGCAGTGAAGCGTGGATCTCTGTCTGATACGAGTTCACGGGGTAACCCATGAAGTCGGAAGATGGTGTCGATAAATACACAAGGACAGCCACTTGCTGTGATTGACTCTGGTACAGTCACAAGGTGTACCATTTTGCTGAATCTGTCAACAAATACGAGAATACCCGTATTCCCGCGTGCGTCTTTGGGTAACCCGAAGACAAAATTCATTGAGATGGATTCCCAGCACTCAGCCGGAACCGGTAGAGGCTGTAAAGGTGCACGCAGTGAAGGACTTGACTTCACTCGTTGACAGAATTCGCACGCGCGAACATACTTTCGCACAAACTGATACTGGTGGGGCCAGTAAAAGTCTCGACTCACCGTGAGATATGGCTTCTCCCGGCCACGATGTCCTCCTATAGGAGCATCGTGATACTCGAACATGATCCGCAAACGCAGATCAGTATCATCTGGAATGACAACACGTGGTGTGTCACCAGAAACGGCTGTATAATACAGTAAACTGTCGCGAGTAGTGTATCGATCTGATGCAGATCGATACGCAGACGACAATCGTTTCAACGATTCTCGAGATGGATGTGAGAGATGTGTCAACAACTTCACAATCTCACCATCTTGGGCATATGCCCGCCTCACATCATCATGCAACGTTGAAGATGGGACAGAGGACGTCATGGCCGCAACAGTGACTGTCTCACTGTTGGGTTTCGCGACTGTTTCAAAGTCGGGACGACGTGAGAGTGCATCAGCGACGACATTAAGTCGTCCTGGTTTGTACTCGACCGTAAAGTTGTATTCCGCAAAGAATGACAACCACCGCGCCATTCGTTGTGAAAGGTGCGGGCTGTTCACTGCCGTGCGTAATGACGCATGGTCAGTGTAAACAATGAAGGGTCTATCTCCTAATAGATAGACTCTGAACTTCGCGAGTGCATACTTCATTGCAAGGAGTTCCTTGTCATGCACTGGATAGTCCCGCTCAGCTGGTTGCAGCTGACGCGACTGATAGCAGACGACGCGTTCAACGCCTTCAAGATCGTACTGCATTAATGCACAGCCGATTGCGAAATCGCTGGCATCACAGACCACATGAAATGGCCTGTCCTGATCGGCTTTCGCTAGGACTGGGGATTGTATCAAGCTCCGCTTGATACCCTCAAAGGAGCGCTGACATTCAGCGTTCCATGACCACCTCTCGTTCTTTTTCAACAAACGAGAGAGGTGTTTAGTCATCTCGGCGTAATTGCGTGAATACTTATGCAAATACGCCGCTAGCCCAAGGAATTTTCGAAGACCTTTGACATCGACCGGCACAGGCCAGTCGGTGATCGCCTTGATCTTTTCGGGATCAGGACGTATACCGTTCTTACCAACGATGCACCCAAGAAGTGGTATTTCGCTTGCTGAAAATATACACTTCTTGAGGTTTGCATACAATTGATGCTTTCGCATGATTGTAAGAACCTGTCGGACGTGGTACCTGTGAACCTCAACGTCCGACTTTCCATCCATAGTTCGACTATGGATGAATACGTCATCAAAATAACTCGGCGCGAATTCTCGTACTGGTCTCAACAGATGTGGTACACATCTGTTGAACGTGGAAGGGGCATTACTAAGCCCTTGTGGCATTACTAGCCATTCCCAGAGCATGCCGCTAGGCGTGCTAACTGCGGTATAGGGTGTATCCCGTTCTCGCATAAGGATTTGATAGAAGCCATCCGTCAAATCCATGGACGAAAAGATGGTACTCTTTGACATACCATCAATGATTACGTCCTTCCTCGGTATCGGCGTCTGAGCCGGTACCGTTGCAGCATTCAACTTGTTAAATGCATGCACTATCCACCACCCTCCTGTTGCTTTTCGCACACAGAAGGTCGGAGAGCTATGTGGGGAAGTTGATTCCCTCACATGGCCCGCTGCTAAACGATCGGCAAAGAGCTTGTCGATCGCAAGTACTTGTTCACGAGGCAGTGGCCACTGCTTCATGACACAGTACTTCGAGCCTGGTTTAAGCTCGACCTCGTGTCGAATACCTTTATCCTTCGGTAATTTGCACGGAACAGTTTCAGGGAATACATCCTTGAATTTAACCAAATCTTCGTAGAGAGGATTTATCTTGAGCAATTCCCACGATTGCGAGTCATATCGCTCAATTCGTGTCTTTTCATCTAGGACACTCTCGTCCATAGATGAACTACTGAGAACCCTCTCGGTCTCAGTGAGCACTGTTGCTGACCTTACGTCGGCTACATACTCGTCGTCAGCGACGAGTACGCAGATCTGCTTGACTTTGCCACTACGCAGATCACGCAAGAACCTTTTATGTTCGAGCGTTGGCAACTGAGTGATCTCCGAAGTTAACTTCGGAGGCGCAATCAGATCAAGTGTATAAGCGCCTACACTTGATCCGTTATTGACTATGACATTCAATGTCTCTGTCATTTCCTGGGGACTTATTCCCTCAGGCTTCGAAGGACTTATTCCTTCGTCTTCCCGGGGACTTATTCCCGCGGGTTTCGGGGAACTTATTTCCGCCGTATTTGTAATCTTGGGACTTATTCCCTTAACTTCCTCTAGCTGGGGTTGCGCAACCACAGCGAGATCCTCTACGAAAGACTCTCCAGTCGATCTAGGATAATCGCTTCGCTTAACCTGAGCGATTGATTGTTTCTCTTCTAGATGCTCCCCGCTAGGGATACATCTTTGTCCCAGTCCACCCGACTTATTCGAGTGGTATACCTTCGGCGCAGCCTGTGTTTCCTCACAGCCGCCGGAACTTTGCTCCGAAGTGTAACCGTTTGTTACACTAAGGTTTCGTGCAGTCGTACTAACGACCGTACCACAAGTGAGGCCATCGCACTCACTCGTAGTACATCCACACGCTTGTGGACGCTCCAAAACGTTCATCAGATGGCCATCGGACGAACAAGCGGCAGGCATCGTTACTGTCCGATGTTGCCAGTTTACTCGTGGTTCGTACCTTCTGAGCCACGGTATTCCAAGGATGACATCAAATTTGTCATCCAAATCCAATACGATAAAGTCATCGTCATATTGGGTATCTTCAAGCGTATAGTGGATCTTCACTATACGCTTCATGACGGTTACGGATGCGCCTGTCGCAAGACGTACCGTCATCCTCGTAGGAGGTGTGTCACATTCACTAAACTCAAAGTGACAATCTTCTAGCGATTGGCGTCGCACAAAATTGTTGGATGCCCCACAATCGACTAGAGCTCGAAGGGACAATTTATTCGTCACTTCGAGTTTCAGGGTAATGAGTGAGGTCTCATTACCTAGAGCAGCAACGCACAACGTCTGTGTGTTGGGAGCAACCTTCATCAAGAGGCCTACAAATTCTCTTGAAGTTGCTGGACCAATAGGGTGATCCGCACCTACTGATCCTGTCCATTTTTTGACGGTCCATCCCGTTGTTGCGTCTTTGCACCAACAGCGGACCCGCGTCCCTGCCCCTTTCTCATGGGTGGGCGGTCACTACGCCCAGTGTTGCGAGACACTGGACGAGGGGCACTACACCGTAAGCGTAGTGTCCTGTCTTTTGACATCTGTTGCATTTCTGCAACTTCTTGTAGTCTGTAGAGCGAGCCTTCTCGCTCTCTACATAACAGAGTTCCATCGGCTCTAGACCTCCGTTGTCATATCGTCTCGGTTGATGATATGATGTCGAGCTGGCGCGAGCCTGTCTCAGACTGAAGTCTTCCTGCTCCGCAATGGAAATGGCTTGTTCTAGTGAATCTAGTTCAAGCCGGAACAGGTGAGTCTTGACGGGACCATCCGCAAGACCCTGCATGAACACCGAAACCAACGTGTGTTCATCTACTGGATTGGAACTTATACAACTCGTAAGATGTCGTATATGTTGCGCGTAAGCGTGCACATCACGCTTACCTTGTTTGAGATTTAAGAGTTCAGTTCGAGCTCTGAACTCAGCTCTAGGCGGTTCAAACGTTTGTCTGAGCCGCGACTTGAAGACTTCCAACGACCCAAACGCATTTGGG